TGTCTCTCATCAAAGCACACACTCTCGCCCTCTGATCGCTGGTGGCCTCCTGGCACTGCTCGTCGGTCCACTCGCTCATTCGCATTTCTTATTGACTCTCCCTCGATCCGGGATAGGGTCCTTCGCTTCTCCCCGAAATTGAAGGAGCACACCGCCCAATCAATTTTTGGTACTGATAGGCCTGCGAGAATCTACGTTCGTCCCATATGACCGAAACCAGTTTTCGATCTTCTTACAAGAGCGAGAAAGGTCAGTGCTGAGCTTGGTTATGCCTGGCCGGTTGTTCGAAACCTAAGAGTGTACTGTAAGCAGATTCAGCGCTCAGAGCTGATCCCCATTTTTACTGAGGCTGACCTCCGCGGGCTCGTGCCTCTCCAATGCGTGACACCACCTACTGTGAAACCACCCTCTCAATCAACTCATAATCACTGACGACCGTCGCCCCCAACTTCTCTTCCCCTTCAAATAAACAATAACCCAGTCTTACATTCGCAGACATGCAACAATTTAGCTGAGTCAATATACCTTCACATCTCTCTCTTCTTGAAGCTAAAGTCCAAGCTGTTCCTTATGACCTAATAGCGATCTCTGAAACCAAACTCAATGAATTCGTATCAGATGCGCACCTTTCTCTTTCGGATTATAATTTTGTACGACATGATCGTATGGGCAGGGAGGGTGGAGGTGTTGGTTTCTACGCGGAACTCCCTGATGATCAAAATACTGGCTGAGTCTGATTCTGTTTATGACAATACTCCTGAATTTTTAATAGCTGATATTCAACTGAATCACCATAATGAAATATATTTCGCTGTAGTTTATCGTCGTCCCTCAGCCTCCAACCTCCCCTTTTTTGACTCCATCTCTACTTTCCTTCCTCACTATAATGATGTCCTTATCACAGGTGATTTTAATTGCGATCTCACCCCTCTCTTCCATATGTTCATGCTTTTCGTGATCAGCTGGACTCTCTTGCTTTAAGGGTTGTTTCCACCGAACCTATACATCATCCTATCTCAATTACCGGAGAAATCATTACTACCCTCGATTTAGTTATCACCAACCACTCAACTAATATCATACAGTTTTCTCAGTCTCATTCACCTTTTGTTCCCTATCATGATTTAATTGCTATCTCAATCTCATCTTCATACATCAAAAATACTATGAAAACCTTTTCCTCCTGTCCTCGCCACCACATTAATCCCTCAGCCCTTAACTCAATAATCACCACCAATCTCTCAGTTTTCTCCTCCGGACCTTTGCCAGGCCTGTCACCTTCACTTAACCAGCTCGAATCTATGTTCACTCTCAAAGTACTTGCCGCTTTTGATCAGCTTGCTCCACTTCGCAAGATTGCTATCCCATCTAAGAAAAAGCCCGGGGTACCTGAAGAACTTCGAGCCAAGATACGCACACGTGACCACCTTTTCTTCTGCTACAAAAAAAAAACAGGTTCCATTGAAGTACTGTCCCAATACCGATCACTTCGCAATCAAATCTCAAATTCCTTAGACACTGCAAAGAATTCCTTCATTCATGATACCATTCATAATGCAACGTCTATCACTCATAAATGGGGAGCCTTCCGTGATATGAGTGTAACTTCTAAACCTCTTTCTTCTCCACTACTCTTCTTCTCCCCTGACATCCTGAATGATCACTACGTATCAGTGGCCATTCGTCACTCTGCTCTAACTAAACAAGCTTTCGATGACATAATTAATGCTCTTCCGATATTTGAACCGATTCCTTCTCAATTTCCACAACCTTTCACCTTCTCTACTGTCTCTCAGCGTGAAGTTGAGTCCGAGGTTTTGGCCCTTCGCTCCAAAGGCAAGGGTAACGTTGGCCTCTCCGCTCAAATGCTTAAACTTGGTCTTAGCTCCCTAGCTCCCCTATTCACACTCATTATAAACCAATCCATCCTCATTTAAGCTTTTTCTTCTGCCTGGAAATGCACTATCATCTGCCCTCTTTCAAAAATTAAAGCTCTCCAGTCTCTCTCTGACACCCGGCCAATAGTCCAGCTTTGCGAGTCCTCCAATGATATATGCTGATGACACTCAAATTTATCATCATTGTTTTCCCTCTGAAATCATTCTAGGCTTTACCAAAGTCCAACTTGATGCCCAGGCAGTCGCGAACTGGGCTGCTTCAAATGGTTTGCAACTAAATGTTACCAAGACGCGTGTCATTGTGATCGGCAGTGAGCTTTACCTATCCTCTCTACATCTAGATTCTCTCCTTCAAATCTCCATCAATAACTCATCATTCCAATTTCCTCATTCGTCAAAAGCCTCACGATATTCTCATCCTTACACTGGAAAACTCACATCAACAATACACTCAAAAAGATCTACATGAATCTAAATTCGCTCAAGTTTTACAGGAAATCTCTCACGATTTCCACTAGATCCTACCTAATGAAATCCCTCATTTTCCCTTACTTCACTTACGCTTCTATTGCCTTCCACAACCTGGATAAAACGAGGCAGCTTGCTCTATTAATTGCTCACAACGTCTGTGTCCGTTTCGCTACTGGTTTCATCCCTTTTATCCCACCTCCTGACATTGAAACCCATGTCACCTTTCATAGACTACGTCTTGGATGGCTCTCCCTTGAATCTCACAGAAACATTTCATTAATTCTTCTTGTTTACAAAACAGTTTGTCTTTCACATCCCTCATACCTTACCACCCATTTCCAATCACCAAACTCTTTTTATACAAAACGTTCCTCCCGCAATTCACCTTCAGCTTTCTCATATCCAGCTCCGCGTACTTCGAATTGAAACCTCTCTTTTACAGTTCGTTCATGTTTCTGCTAAATCAACTGTCCATAACAGACTTTGACATTTCCAGATATATGGAGCTCAAGTGATGGCTGTTCTCCCTCTTCATGGTCCTGGAATATCAGCACTTCGTTCAGAGGGTCACGTACGAATCTTTAACGAACCTCTCATCCCTTCAAAAATTACCCACAGTATCCCTTTCTTTCAATGTCTCAGCCTTCACTAGTTCAAATTACCTGCAAACACCTGGTTCCTACCTCTCTTATAATTTCCCCCCCTTCAACACATAAAAGCTGCAATATTGAATTTTCCTCCGTTTTCTGTCCAGCTTTTCTTTTTTCTTATCTCTCTTCTCTTCCTTCCATCCTTCTAATGTAGTTTTCACATGACTCGTAGTATCTGTCGTTGCTGGTTAGATTTATCTGTCTCCTTGAGGTCTTTAAATGAAGCCCACCTATCCTCGTTGCTCATACGATTTCCCCCCCCCCCCCCTTTTCTTTATGCGACTTATTTTTCTTTTCTGTTCTACGACCTGCGTTCTTTATTGTGTTTTTCTTATTTTCATATCAGTGTGATATTATTGTCCCACACTCTTTCATCTCTTATTGCTTTTCTTATTGCGTTTTCATCTTGTTATGTATCTTGTTATATTGCCAATGTATTGCGTATGTCACCTAATTTTATTTTTATTTATATTAAGGTTTTAACCAGCGACCGAAGTTTATTTCAAATTATTTATTTATTTTAGAACTGATATATGCACACAAAAATTCTTAATTGTTTAATTGTTAATGCTCATTTGTTATTCATATTATTGTTGTTTTATTATTATAATACTGACCTTATTATTCTTGAAGCCTACGGGGTCATGGCTAAATAAAAATTGTTTAATCTCTCTCTCTCTCTCATTGTTCTATACTACTTTTAATACACTTTTTTTAAGCTACTTGATCAAGTAAATTATTTAGCGGGCTTATATTTAGAACTCCACTCACAAAGACAAATTATGATTTTGCGGTTTTTATTATCACAAGTTTTTTGAAGTGATGACATGTTGTTACTTGTGATTTCACTGTTATCTTTTTCTTTTAGTATTTTGTAGTTGTTCCTAATTTCTACCATGCTAGTATTTTAAAAACTAGTAGTCTTTTATGAGTGTTTGTCTCCATTTTATACTTTGATTCTCTTCCGGGCTATTTTTTAGCCTTTTTTTATATACTGTTTTCCATTCTGCTAAGTTGTTTTTTGATTCTTTTAATTTTTTATTAATTGGTGATATCTGCACTGCAAACAAATTTGTAGCCATATTGACTGGACTTAGTGACATTTTTTTTCATTCTTTTTATTATTTCTATTTTGTTTTCAATAACTCTGTTAGTAAATATTATGTAGACACTGTCTATAAGTCACCCCGATATAAGAGAATGCTCCAAACACACGTCCAAACTAGTCGAGTGCTAGTCAAAGAAAACGAATAATTTATTGTGGTTTTAAATCAATAGCCCAGATGAAGTGAAGGACTTTTCGAAATAGATATATGAACCATTTTTATAAGAACTTTTACTAATGTCTTTTAAAATTCTATTTGGATAAGTAACCAAGTATGATAAAAAAATATCCGTAATAATTCCTGTAATAGAATGTTTTTTGGATAGCAGTATGGAAAACTTAGAATATTCACTGTTTAATACCAGCTCGCTTTCTTAACAATGAAAATATTTATCAACGTATATCGATGGTCGTAATATTTTTTAAATTACATTATTTATCCAAGTATCATATAACTACATACAATAAGTAATAAATTCACCATTTTTAATTAATTATTTAGAAGTAAATTTTTCAACAGGTAACACGTTGCTATAATCTTATAATATAAACCGATGGTATTGATATGCTAGTCTAATTGCTTCCCCCGTGTTATTATACGGTCTAATTTTAGGTCGATATTTAAAGGAGATAAATTTAACCACTAGTAAAATTTGTTAAATTTGTTAATATATAAATTTTATCATATAAATGAAAAAAGTTTATTTTTAAAGATAGTAAGAACTAAAATATCTTATTCCGGTTGCTCAGGCTATTAAAAATAAATCATTTCCATTTGTACCTAGAACATCTAATATGAAAACTTAAAAATTGAAATTCCTTTACCTAACATGTCGTATTTTATGACACTAAAGAATGTAGAAATGCTATACGTACTTGTAAGTCCAGCTGTTGGAACAACATAAAATGTATGAGGATCGCTAGCATTCTTTATGCTTGCTTCACTGAATATAGATGATACTGTGATATCTGTATATACTAAAGAAACCTGTAAATTTATAAAAATGTTTAGATCGAAAATTTGTACTTCTTTAAAGATGAAATTACCTGTTTTTGTAAACTAACTGGATGGGGGAAAGACAGTTTATGTACACTGGAAACTGTAGCTACTAAGATCACAATCAAATTATCTGTTTCATGGATAGTAATGCCATCTAATATTGGAGTATCTGTAAATTTATACTTCACTCGATTATTAGCGAGATTTATGTCTAAACTATGTTCAGATAATTCCAATACATCATGAGTGATTTTCCAATAAATAAATCTATTGCGAGTAGCGGTATCATAAGAATTTTTGTAACTATAACCGCCAGCTCTTTCTGGTACTTTAATATCTTGTAAAGTACTTTGACTACCTCCTATAAAATCAAGAAAAAATTTTTTTTTTATAAATAAATATATTTGAAGAATCTGGTAAATATGAGTAATTTTTATAATATTATGATAGTTTTGTCAATATTTCAATAGAAAATATTAGGCGCATATCATGATTAAAATAGTGGGGAGAATAAATGTGCTTATTTGAACCCAACCTTACTAAAAATTGAAAATTGATATTGGAAAAGAGCGCAGATCGCCATGTGTCGGTATTCATGGGCGATTGCCTTTTATTGCTCTCTCTCTCTCTCTCTCTCTCTCTCTCTCTCTCTCTCTCTCTCTCTCTCATTTTAGCAATTAATTTCGATTAGAAGGCATATTTCCAAATTTAAATTTTTCCGTTCGAGATGAACGTTCCCAACTCCAAACTCATCAATTTTCCGTAAAATAATATTATGATCAAATTGAACCATGACTAACACAACAATAAATAGAAGATTATTTTGATGATCTTGTTCATTTCGTCTTCTTAGTGGAAGAAAATTCTACGACCACTTTGAATCTTAATATTGCATAATACACTATCATAAGAACATTGTCGATCAGGGAATTGTTCAGGATATAATGCAACAACTCTTCGATAATTTCGTTGGCATTCACACAAAACAAGAAGAAAGTCAATAATATCATCAGCAGTATAATCCGCTACTTAATTGAAATGATAAATTTGAAAGTTGATTCTTATTGTAAACGAAAAGTACAACTCAAAGAACTAAATTACAAAACAATCGAGATAAGTACTGCTTAAAATACACTAGTGGAAAAAGGACCCCGCACAAACCTTATGGAAAAAAACTTTCTGTCAAATGTTCCTAAAATTTGGGAAAAGGTAGCTAATATCATGTAGATTAAATGTCTACATGGGCCCAAAGCTCGCCTATGGCTGGGTTCCGAGATACCAGGGTTCAAACACAGGCAAAACGACGGATTTCTGGATCACGGTTATTGACTTTATTTTCATGTTGTTTAACTCACAGACACGCACACACTCATGCGCGGTATATTATATATATATATATATATATATATATATATATATATATATATATACATATGTGTGTGTCTAGCGACGGTGCCGGTGGTGGTTCCGTGGGGCCGCTCGGCAGGGGGCCGTGTCTACATCCAATTATTATATATATATAGATAGATATTTTTTTTCTTTTCTATAGTCCACCCTATTCAGCCATTATGTAAATCAGGATCTATTATTTCAATACCATTCGGGTTGCCTATATCCAGCTGTGTGTTCAATACAGTATGTAAAAGACGTAGTGAAAAGCGATCCACAATTGATATCTAGTAGCATTTCTGAAACGCGAAAACATCCGGATTCTTGTCAATCCCGGTTCATTTGCATTGGTGTCGATTTAAAACGTCATATCTTCTTGCTAGTCATCTTCATCTCAGTTAGCTGTTTGGTGTTGCTTCAATAGTCCTTTTCAGGATAAATGGAGTTCCATTGCAGTTTGCTGGTCGGTGTTGCTTCAATAGTCCTTTTCAGGATAAGTGGAGTTCCATTGCAGTTGGCTGGTCGGTGTTGCTTCAATAGTCCTTTTCAGGATAAGTGGAGTTCCATTGCAGTTGGCTGGTCGGTGTTGCTTCAATAGTCCTTTTCAGGATAATTGGAGTTCCATTGCAGTTGGCTGGTCGGTGTTGCTTCAACAGTCCTTTTCAGGATAGTTGAAGCTCAGTCGCAGTTGGGGGTGATTGTTCTTCAACAGTCCGTTTCAGGATAGTTGAAGCTCAGTCGCAGTTGGGGGTGATTGTTCCTTCATCATTTGTATAGCAGGAAACAACTGACTCACCAAAGTAACAGAACAATGGCCTTCCGGGTACGACATGAATGCTACACATGTGAGAACCGACAGATACCACGCGTAATGGCATTCATATTTGGTGATGAAAATGCTATCGTACGTGAAATAGCTATAACACGACGCGATGAAAACGGTAGACCACCAGCTGAAGTAACTCCCGATACGCGAGTTTGCAATAACTGCATCGTAGCAATCCGTCGTGAAATTGAGATTTTGGCCAATGACCCACAGTGTTTGAGATTGAATGTCTTATCTCAAACTTCGTCTCAAACTTGTTTGGTATGTAATGGTATCAATGATATTCATAGATTGACATTAGAATGTAGAGTTGATATTTTTGTTAAGAGAAACATATATATTCCCAGAACTCATGTTTGCTGCAGGCTTCACTTAGATGAAAGGGGATGGTTATTGCAAGCTTTAATTGAAGGACTGAGATACATTAATAGACCATACCGCTTAAACGGTGAAGAGGCTCAATCGTTCTTACAAGGAATGCGCGAAGAAATAAAACGAAGTGCGGAACGAAGATATGAAGACGAGCATGGTGTAACCGATGAGGAGTTTCAAACACTCTACTCTTTAACAAAAGTCCAATTCAACGATCTTTATTCTTTCTGCGATACAGTACCTGTGCCAAGAGGACATAGTATATTAGCAAAAAGGATCTTCTGTGCTTTTTATGTAAGTTGAGTCACAGTCTGAGTGATGACTTTTTATGTGTAATGCTTTATTATCCTTCTCGACAGAGTACCGGTATGCAAATAGCTACAGTAAAACAATCACTATCTGCAAGATTTTGCCATGGAAATATTGGATTTGGCGCTATGACTAGAGAAGAATTCATTGAAAGGCATGTCACACCGTTTGCAAATCAATTGTACAACCCTACGCCCCAATATCCGAGAGCAATAGTTTATATAGATTGTACTTATCTTGATATCGAGAAGAGTTCTTGTTTCCAAGTTTTAAGACAGTCCTTTTGCGTGCATAAACATAAACATCTCGTGAAACCATCAGTAATTGTTGGCCCTGATGGATACATTCTTGATATTCAAGGTCCATACTTTTCGAATGCACTTAACAATGATGCTCGAATCCTTTTGAATGAACTCAATCGAGATGTTAATGGAATGCAGAATTGGTTTCAAGAAGGTGATATAGTTATAGTAGATCGTGGATACCAAAACTCAATCCAAACTGTGCAAGGAATAGGCCTGATAACGAGAATGCCACCACTTTTGGATCGTAATCAAAATCAGTTTCGAACTGAAGAAGCTAATGAGTCTCGCATAGTGACTAAAACGAGGTGGATTGTCGAAGCGCGCAACGGGCATCTAAAAAGTATTTTTTCATTTTTTTCCAATACAATACCAACGTCTCATGCCGCAAACTTATCAGATTTCCTACGTATTACTGGTGCAATCATAAATAGGTATTATGGACCTATAAATATGCCAAATGCCAATGAAGCCTTGGCCAATCATATGCTCGAACAAGCACAGCAAGTAAAAATAGTACAGGCAAGAGTAGAAGCTGATAATCTCGGACGAAGAAGAGCTCGCTGGGTTCTCTTAACTCCAGCTCATATACCATTATTTCCTCAGATGACTGTGAATGAGTTACAAGCTCTGACTTTTGGAACATACCAAATGTACTTGGCACCATCTTACATGCAAGATAGTTCTTTAAGAGCTGAACGGGAAGATGACGAACAAGAAGATATGACGTTTGAAATCGATGCCAATACAAATGAACCGGGATTCATAAGAATCCGGCTGTTTTCGCGTTATAGAAATGCTACTAGATATCAATTGTGGATCGCTTTTGACGAAGAACATAACGGTGGAGAACACGGGGAACAAGATCCAATTCTCGGATATTATTGCACGTGTAAAGCAGGAGCTCGAACTCTAGGAACTTGTGCTCACGTCGCTTCCAATATTTGGTATCTCTCCTACGCAAGACATCACGAAGGAAATGCTCATTACCCTTCACTCCGTCTTTTACTTACTGTAATGAACGCATGAGTGTGTGCGTGTCTGTGAGTTAAACAACATGAAAATAAAGTCAATAACCGTGATCCAGAAATCCGTCGTTTTGCCTGTGTTTGAACCCTAGTATCTCGGAACCCAGCCATAGGTGAGCTTTGGACCCATGTAGACATTTAATCTACATGATATTAGCTACCTTCTCCCAAATTTTAGGAACATTTGACAGAAAGTTTTTTTCCATAAGGTTTGTGCGGGGTCCTTTAAAGGATCAAAAAAAAATTCCAAATTTTTTGACGCTTTTTAACTGGCTGGTTTTCCCTTGAAAATGGTCGTACTGGAATTTAAAAAAAAAGCGTTTTCAAGTTTGAAGTTTCTAGATTTGAGATCTCATAATCAAAAAATTTTTCAAGCAATATGTTCTGTTCAATCCTCATGAATACCAAAAAAAATTTTTTTATTAAATTTTTTATTAAATGAATTCATTGTTATTTTAGCGATGTGTGATTATTAGCATTGCCCATGTGAGCTTATTATATACTTATTATATGTATTCTTAATCTATTTATTACTTCAATCATATTTATATGAAATTATTTTTTCTGTAGTATAAAATGCAATTATATAAATATTAAAAAAGGGAACTTTTCCTTAGCCCATGACGCTAAAATAACAATGATGAATTCATTTCATAACTTAAATAAAAATCACATTTTCATATATCTATCCAGAGCTCATGTTTAAGTTAATTTTAAAGTACGACATTCGTTGTAACACTCGTTACATCGTAAACATAAAAATAAGTCTGAAAAATAAGTTTGAAATTCACAGTTCATTTTATATCTCTGACTTTTCGGTTTGTTTCTGAATAGTAAAAATATTATATTAATTAACATTACTATGACTTAGGTTTTCTATAGCTGTGAGTACGAATGATTTTATTATTATTGTTAGATGTGTACTGTAGTGTTATGATCATGTCGAATTGTTTAAAAAAAAGTTTTTAATTGTTCATAATTTTTTTTTTTAATAAAGTTTTCCTGAAGAGGCCATGAATTTATGGTGAAACGTTGAAATTTCAAGAGTGTTGTTTTAATTACATGAGGGATTTTCCTTAACCATTGTTTATATATGAGATTAATAAAAATAAGTCATATTATGTTATGTAGGTAT